CCAAATAGCTTTACAATGGAAGCCTGGACCACACACAACTTATATCAACCACGAAGACGGTCTGAACACACAGTTAAATATTACGTCTTCTAGCATACCGTGCCAGACGCTATACCAACTAAGCCACGGAACGGGAGCCACGTTGAGGCAACCATGTTTGTAGGATTTTTTGGACTTGTTCGATCAGTAATATTGAAATTGACACCTCGGTTGAGAAACCCAATTAAACTGGAGCTCCAGCAGTGGCATCAGAGTCGCAAGCGCGCAGCTAAGGCGTGACATCATCCCGAAAAGTATTTTTCAATTTTGTCTTATAAAATATCATCTTATATTATCTATTTCATAAAATAATTTTATTTGTCTCGCTCTCCCCTGTACATCGGTCCATCATCCGCCTCTCCTCAGTAATACTTGAAACACAATGCAATGCAGTGGTGCCTTTGTGGCTTGCGGATCGCAGCGAGATGCGAGCGGGCGGTGGTAACGGACGCCATTCGTCACAACGCTTTTTCTACACGCTTAACTATACCTACATATTACTTTACATGGAGAATAAGTACCACATGTTTAGTACTTCATGCTAGTTGTTCGCAAATTTGTTTTTAAAATGTCTGTTCCGACTTACGTCTTTGTATGGTAAACTACAGGTATATAATGGATATTGCTAATCCTTAGTCTCTCTATTAACGACGTTGTTACATGCTCAATGTTCATACGATATTTCAACGCAATCAACCTATCACAGACCTGAAACAAGATAAATATAAGCTTGTTTAAACTTTTAACCCAAGTCATGATCACATTATAAAAAGCTATATAAAACATGACACCATAGTAAAAATTGGAAGCTTGTTTGCGCTTTCAAATTAATACACAAGCATTAACACTATTTCTAGGACCCGCTACAATTCAACAACTACGACGAGAATTTTCCTAATGTGGATTTCAGAGGAGCATAAATAGTCAACCGTTTTCCAGGAATATAATTAAATACCTCGTTATAACGTCGTAGATATGTCTAAAAGTAATACCGTCGGACCCAGCTCCATTGCTAATTAGGCTCTTATTTGCATTCACATGTCGTTTCTTCGGCGCCATCTTTCCTGCGTGCAACGTGCCCCGCTGTCAAGCTCATTAGTTCCGTTTCAACTCTGCTGCATGTAAAGATGTTAATGTCGCATAGGGAAAAATCTTTTTACGTACCTCCTTTAGTAGAAGTAGAGAAGGGAAGTACCATAAACGAAGTATGAAGCGACATTGTGTACACAAAGACAAAAATTAAACGATATCTATTAAATACATAATAAAATATATTATTATAGAAACAAAGCAAAAAGGCAGGAAGTATATGGTAATGGTCTTTGATTTTTTTGTTTATGCGGAGTAGGTATTTGACGTGACGACGACAGAGACGCTTTCCCACGAGCTTTCTTGCGCTATAAGCTATACCTAATTCATTTTAGTGGATGTAATATATAACTTTTCAATTGATTAAACTTTTGGTAGAAAGGCGTAGGTACCTAGTTCGTCGCTTCGACGAGATATACTGTGTACGTTATTTCAGTTGTTTAGGCACTTAGAAAAGCGGACTTAACTCATTTCTCTGTGGGGGATTATACACGGAAAGCCATTTACGCCTTCGGGTCACGGGTGCAGTTGCAGTACCCCTAAGATCTTTGTGATTTAAAGCTCTGAGTGGCACTGCAACTGTTATGGACAGCTTACTGTCAGGCGCACTACTTGTTCGTCCAAACCAATTGGGAATTCTTTAAATTCAACTAGTCTACAATAACCTACCTCAACAACTTAATACTCTGGAGGCTATCACACACTGAAGCGGGAACTCTGAATTTAGTCTAAAACATCTTAAGTATCTTTTTAAACTCTAATAACGTTTACAAGCCAATAACTTTATTTAAATCTGGCTAAGAACTTTTGGGTATCAGATTCGCTCTACTAATAATTATTACGATTATGGAACAACACGAGATTGTTTCTGTTAAAGCGTAAGGTTTTTTAAGAGTTCTCAAATTCTTAGTGAGGCAGTCTCGCCAATTAACGAATGAATATTTACAACAGAAATTGAAGTAAGAATTTGCAGTTCTATGTAGAAGAATTTTTTTAAATAACATTCGTTTAGTCATATTATCATCATCTTGTTAGACGCTCATTTATTTCTTTGCGGTAAAATAGTGGAGTATTTAGTGGAGCTGTAACCATTCCATCGGCGAAAAGAGATGACGTTTTAATTCATCAGATCTTATATTTTTTTAGTTAGAAAAATTTCGAAACCAATAAAAAGGGTATACAACTGCACACTCCATATTAATGGAATGAAAGGCACCCTGATGACTTCCTGACGAGGCTATGGCATGTATTTAATAGCCGTCCTAGAATGGTTTCTAAGTTCGATTTTAACAAAGATTTAATCATATACTGTGCTTTTGATAATCATAGTTTTTTAATAGTAAATTCAAGGACTCGTTACCACTACGAGACCTAATAAAAGGAAGATGCAAAGAAAAATGTGCAGTATCAAGTAAAACCATGGCCACGTTTTACTTTACATGATTTAAATTCGACTTTATGCTACTTTGCATAAAACGATAAAAGTGTGGATTATAAACATCAAGTGCTGTTGACTGTATATAAATTCCTTCTTATTGTTTCCATAGCCCCGTATGCCTAACAAACATTCTTAATAACAGTGGTTAAAATATGAAATTACGTTCTATCATGAACCAATAACAAGAAGACTGTAAATCTACATACTACGGATTGTAAGTCTAAAAAACGTCAAAATCCCTTCTTATAACTAGATGGCGCTGATCGATAGCATGGAAGTAGTTTATATTACGTAAGTATTCGTGGATATCAATTGATTCCTCTTTAATATAAAATATTATTCCAATATTGATCTTGAGCTAATATTATTTTCTGAACTTTGACAAATATGCGTGTCAATGAGATAGCATTGTGTGTTACAAACTAATTAATACGGGGAGGTGGAGCTAGTTGTAAACAAAATAAAAGAATAGCCAGCACTATCAATAATAATCTATACAACAAGCGCCATCTAGTTGATTTGTTTGTTACCACTACAAATTTGAGTAGCTTTGATAAATTGCAGTTTGTCAATGTAAAACAAATCAGTTACCCAAATAGCTATTTGATACTCGTGGCGACATCTGGCGTACCAATAGGTACTAAATACCCGACTAAGCTGTCTCGCGTCGCGCTGTTCTGTAGGAGAATTCAAAGAAAATAAAACTTTTAATATTGATTGTCACGAATATTATATAATGATGTTCATTACAATCAATATTACAATTTACAAAACGACATCTCTTGTCAACCTCTGGTAGCTTTACAGGTCTGTTTGAATGAAGAAAACTTTCGTATACTAGTATTTACTTAAAACCAAAAACAAAGAGAACAAAATTGGCTGCTGACTCGATCTGTAGCTCAGTCGGTAGAGTGATTGCCCGATTAGCAAGTGGCCTATCAGATCAAAGGAATTAATTATCCTTTGTATTGGATCTTTGTGTTAATAATTATAAAACTTTCAAAACAAAACATGCACTCACGCCCTCTTACTTGAAGAACATTCCTTTGCAGTACATTACCGATGAAAGAAATCCAAAAAGTCATACCCATATTTGCGTCTTCATGTGAAGATTGGTTGACTTGGCTTGGTTGAAATATAGAGATATATGATATTGCGATTTTACGACCTATGATAATAACATATTGTGCAAAACAAGAACAAAGAACACAGATGTATTGAAAGACATCAAGTGTTACACGGCGTCAAAGTTATTGCAAACTTTTCCCGTTTAAAGTTAACTAGGGCTTAAAGTGAGAAGTCGTTGAAACAATTAACTGTTATTTGTACGTTGGACATTCTTCAAAAGCACGAGAAGCAATCTTGGGGTGTTGTCAAAGTTTCCATAGAGATTTCCTGCAACTCTGATATAGACAGAATCTACGTTTGTTTCTCCAATTACGTAAGATTTCTATTTCGTTTTTAAATACTTTTCACAGTTGACATTTTGACAAAAAAAAAACAAAAATGAATGAACGAAATATGAATTCAAAATTTGCGTTTGCCGTTTTATTTGAGAGCAGCAAATATTGTCTCGAAATTCACGTCGCGTCAATTCTTACTTCTTACTTTTTTTTGGAGGTGCGCGGGACGCGGTATCGCTAACTGACGTGTTTATGTTACGCTCGTGCATTATTGTGAAATAACAGTGTAAATATTAAGTTATTCTGCCGTAAATGTACTTTAACAGTTAACTAGAACTGCGAACTTTCGAATGGTGCATTTGAAATTATCAAACATTCTGTGGATTTGCCAAAAACTTACGTTTTATCTGTGCTGTGAACGGTTAACCGCGGTTAGACTTTGAACTCGTGTCATTGACCGGACGATAGATCATTAACCTCGTGTGACGTTTACTGTCCGCACGCATAAGAGTAACAATTTCGCGTCGTTGCACTGTGTCGCTCTGGCTTAATAGTCTCGGCGCTTGATTGCAAAGTCAATCCGAGTGTGGGTTACGGTTCGATTCCCGGGCCTTAGACTGAAAATCTATTTTTTTTTCTTTTTTTCTGGTTTTTAATTACCCGTGTTTGGGTTCGAACCTCATTGTACAGAATTATTAATTAATTATTATTATTTTTTAAATCAATTTTTTTTTTTAATTAACCGAACGATGTCTAATGTCGGCAGTTGTTATGGGTGTAGGCAACCAATTAAGGATAGACTTTTTTTGTGCTGTAGCGTCTGTCATGAGAACTTTGACATATGGTGTGCCGGTGTGTCGGAACAACGTTTCTTCAATACCTTAACCGCTGAGCATAGAGCTGTCTGGAAGTGTACGATTTGTATTAGCAAACAACCTAAAACCGGCAATACTAACACACCGGTGAGAAATGCAGAAGATGGAATTACAATTCGTCGAAAAGAGAAAATTGTTCGCAGTCCACCTGCACAAATGGATGTTTCTTTGCTGGATGCTACCATGAACATTTCGGGCCACGATGCGACTGCGGATGCGTCGCATGCTACAAGTGCACTTGTAACAGAGATGCGTCTGTTTAGGGAGGAGTTGACGGCAACTAGACATCTCATGGCCACTCTAAACGAAACCATGAGTGGACTCACAGCGAGGATGGACGCCTGTGAAAATCGAGTGAGCAAACTCGACGAGCGCATTTTAGCCCTAGAGCAACGTGCTGAGAACAAACCGGCAGGTGCTGACGCCTCACTGCTTGCCACCGTTGAACAGCTTAAAGCGGAATTAAACGAACGTGATCAGGAGCTGTTGCAGAATGATGTTGAGGTCTCGTGCGTTCCTGAACAAAAGGGTGAAAGCTTGCAGCATATTATAATTACTCTTGCAAGTAAATTAGGCGTTAGTCTGGGTGAGCAGGATATTGTTAGTGCCTTGCGAGTGGGACGTCCTCCAGAGGAGGTGGATGCGCTGGCTATGTCGACTGCACGCCCGAGAATGATTGTGGTGCGGTTGGCGCGTCGCGCGGTACGTGATCAGATGTTGCAGGCGGCTCGCGTTCGTCGAGGTGCTACCACAGAGGGTACTGGGGTGCCCGGCCCGCCGCGACGATTCTACATCAACGAGCGGCTGACCCGCACTAACAGGGTTGTATTCCGTCTGGCTCGCGGGGCGGCGGGGCGCCTGAACTGGCGCTACGTATGGACACGCGACGGTCGAGTATTTGCGCGTCAGCATCAGGGTGGTGACGCGCCGCGTCATCGTCTTCGTACTGAGGCTGATGTTTCCCGTGTTTTTGGTATTGGAACGATTGGTGACAATAAATAAATCTTTATTTTTAATAATTTATTTTGTAATTAATATTCGCATAATTATATCAGGAATAGAGCTTGTTTTACATACATATAAAATCATTAAAAAAATTATATTTACTCATTTGCTTTTGTTTTATATTTTATTTAGTCAATATAAAAGTTTGTTAAGTGAATGGTCTATGTTACGTGTACTTTCATGTGGTGGGGTGTGCTGTATCAGTGCAAAGCTACTCATTGTGAATCGCATTTTTTCTGTGCCAGCTTATTTATCAATCTATATTAATTTATTTACATGCATTTTATTAACAATGAATATTCTTACGTTTATTTCTATTATATCACGGCATATTTTTATCAATTTAACCCTTACAAATATTAACATATTGCACAGTCTGTACAAGTATAACTTATATATATTTCACTTACATCAGAGTAACAGAGTTTATGTAATTCCTTACATGCTTAAAATGTAATCAATGGCTCCTAAAAATAAATTCATTCGGTTGGGACTATATAACGCAGGCTCTTTGAATACAGGACAAGATGATTTTCTTGTTGCAATGAGTCGTTTCAACGCCGATATAGTCGCTATTAATGAAACATGGCTGAGGAATGGTCAGGAGGCGTGTGCGCCTGCGCCGCCGGGTTACAGACTACGCTGTGCACCGCGGCCGAAGCATATGCGAGGTGGACGTGGTGGAGGGGTAGGGTTTTATGTAAAGGATGATGTTCGCGTTAGTTACCTCAAAAGTCCCAATGATTCTGTAGAGCAAATGTGGCTGACTACTAAAACTAATGGATACTCCTTAGTTATCGGCACTGCGTATAGGCCACAGTGGTTGAATGTTGATACATTTATAGACGCAATCACTGACTCGGTGTCCAGGTTTTCCCGTTATGACTATTTAGTTCTTATGGGTGATTTTAATATTAATATGCTACATGAAAGAGATAGGGACACTATGAAGTTGGATCAGTTTCTGCGTTGTGTGGGTTTGAGACAGGTTGTATCTGAACCTACTCACTTCACTACGGTCTCGGAGACGCTAATTGACGTTGTGTGCACCAACTGTACCGTTCGTGAAGTCTTGGTCAGTAATATCACCGGATCACTCGGGCACTCAATGATAAATATTACAATGACGTTAAAAAAGATTAGGGTGCCTGCTAAAGCTGTGACCTCGAGATCCCTGCAGAATATAAATTTAGACAGTTTTACTAGCGACCTTAACTCCATAGACTGGGAATCTGTGGGTGCTGAAGCAACTGTTGATGCAATGGTTGCCAAATTTAATATACTGCTCATGGAACTCTTTGACAGGCATGCTCCCTATAGAACTTTGCATATAAAAGAACCTAAGTCCCTGCCGTGGATAACTGACACCCTTAAATTTATGATGGATTTGCGCAACGAAGCTAGGGCGAAGAAAAAACATTCAAACTCAAATATGCGGTACTACAAGGACCTTAAAAGTTTAGTAGAAACTAGTATTTATTATGAAAAACGTGCTTATTTTAACCATTTTGTTAATTCTAATGTAAAAGATAGTGTTAAGCTTTGGAAAAACTTAAAAAGCAAAATTTTAATAGACCCGAGTAAAAGTGAATACCTTCCCGACTGTTTCGGTGACCCTGATTTGATAAATGATCACTTTTTGAATGTCCCTAGGCATGTTGATATGGCTGTTAGTTTAGAGAGAGGTAAATTTGAGACTTCTAGTTTTGGGGCTGATTCCTTCACTCTTCAACCTGTTACGGAAATGGATGTTTCGAAATATATCTTGTCTGTCAAGTCAAATGCAATGGGGTGTGACAATATTAGCCGTGACATGATTATGTTGACGTTACCAAAGACCTTGTCGATAATCACTGCGATTGTGAATAGGTCCATTTTGACAGGTAGGGTACCTAGACTGTGGAAGGAAGCATTGGTCACTCCACTACCTAAGGTTGACAATCCCAGTGAACTAAAAGATCTTAGGCCTATTAGTGTACTGCCTTTTCTTTCTAAAATTCTAGAAAAGGCAGTATATCATCAGCTTCTATGTCATGCAGACAAGAATAATATGCTCCCTTCTCTTCAGTCGGGTTTCCGAAGGGGTCGTGGCACGGTTACTGCTTTGCTGGACGTAACTGATAATATACTAGCGGCACAGGACGCTGGCCGTGGTACGATTCTCTCACTCTTGGACTTTTCTCGAGCTTTTGATAGCATTGACGTTTCTCTTCTGCTATCAAAATTAGTCTACTATGGACTAGACCCACGGGCGGTTCAGTGGTTTGGTGATTACCTAAGTGACCGATGCCAGTCTGTAAGACTCAAGAAACGCAACTGCATTGATATGATTTCCAATTTGCAGCCGGTTCATCGTGGAGTTCCACAGGGTTCGATATTAGGTCCTCTACTATTTATAATTTACAGTGCTGATTTGGTCCAAGTAATAAAACATAGTAAATTCCACTTGTACGCCGATGATGTTCAGCTGTATATTTCTGAAGTGCCTGAGAGAATATCGGATTCATTACGGCTGCTCAATGAAGACCTAAATGCGATAGCTGAATGGTCGGTCCGAAATGCGCTAGTACTTAATCCTAATAAATCAAAGTTTATGGTGCTTGGATCAAAAGTTCAGATTAGGAAAATTTTAAACAAGTCACCAGTAGTTAGTATTTTAGGTCAAAGTATTTCCCGGGTTCATGAAGCTAGAAATCTTGGTGTTCTGTTGGACAGCGAACTCCGTTACGAAAAACATTTAGAAAATGTTGTAAGAAGTTGCTTTTATAGACTGAAAGTCTTGTACAAAATTAGGAATTTACTGTCCGAGGGAGTTAGGATCACTTTGTGCGAATCCCTGGTGCTGTCTCGTCTCAACTATGCGGACCTTGTTTATGGCCCTCGACTGTTATATAAAACAAGTCGCTTAATACAACGCATACAGAATGCATGTTGTAGGTTTATTTTTGATGTTTCGCCTAGGAGTCATATAACGCCGTTTCTTAATAATGCATGTATACTCAACATGGAATCTCGCAGACAGTTACATCTTGCCTCTTTAATGTTTGATATTGCAAAATTCAAAAATCCAGATTATCTTTTTTCAAAATTACAATTTCCCCACTTTTATAAACGGTACGACCGTATTCCTAGATCGTTACGTCCCCCGCTAAGCATGCAGCGACATCGTACAGCAGCGTTCACCGGCAGTTTTCGCTACCACGCAACAAAGTGTTGGAATAATATTCCACCACCTTTAAGACTTTTAAAATCTAAACGCACCTTCAAGGAAAAGGTAAAGGAACTTCTTCTTGACAGTCAAAAAAAGGGTATTTCACAGAGCTTTGCTTAGGTGGCGAAAATTTGCTGCATATCATCATCATCAGCCTATTAAGTCCAGTCCAGTCCTATTGCATATATTGTGTATTAAAACCATGATTAACCCACTAACAGTTTAATTTTCTTTTATATCTGTATTTCACTTGTTTTTCTTAATTTTTTTTTTTTTTTTTTATATATTGTACTCTTACAAATCACTAATATTTTTAATTTATTTTTTAAACATTATATTTATATTATCTTCCTATTTATTTGGTTTCTATTCTAATTATTATTATATGTTTAAATATAATTAAATGGAAAAATGACGTCAGCGAGCTGATTATCGTATCCGCGATTACCTCTAGGTTATGGCTGAAAATCAGCGGTTTGCTCTTGAGTAAACACCGACGCTGAGCTATGACCTTTTTGCACTGCTGCAGTACACGTACATAACTGGGTGTCTAGCAGTGCTGCGACTCTGCTGTTTTTGTTTATTTTTTGTTTTGTTTGTGTTTTTGTTTTTATTTTTTATTTTTTGTTGCTGTTATGTACGTGTGAATGTAGTAACAAATAAACATTTTATCTATCTATCTATCTATCTATCTATCTATCTTGTTCTTTTTCCCAATTGCTTAGGAGTATACACTGATTTCCTTGTTCATCCGAACGATGACGTGACAGGTATCGATGAGTAGTCTTCTTAATCGCGTTAGACGGGTGATTGCACTTGCGACATTTGAATAAGTTTGCTCGCTCGCTGTAACGTAATGTCGCGTCTACGTGCTTTTCGGTTCCGGAATAATACGATCGATGAAAAGGGATATCACGTCGCAAGGAGTGACGTCTTCACTTTCAAAGCTGTGTCAAATGTTTTGGTGTCGCTAGAATTATGTAACGAATGACGCTTTTATCAATATGTTTCAATTTTGGGAAGTTGTTTCGATTTCGTTGCCGTGCTGTAACATCACGGATTTCACATTCATTTGACTATTGCCATCACTCGCCTCATAAAAATGAGTGTGTTACTTGCCGCTCCCCTATGCGCCGTGCTGCACGATAACTCATCATTGTTTGCATTAATTTTTACTTTACTGTTGCTGCTATCTTCTTCGAATCTTTGCGCAATCTTAGGAGCCGAATGTGGACTGTATTTTGAAGTAATAACTAAGCTCTTGACATTGTGCTTAATTTTATTACTACGTCGCCGTGTGTTCGTCAGAGCGCAACAGCTCCAAGCACGGTGCGACACAGTAATTAATCACCAACACTTGAGTTCGCTTAATAACTTTTTAAAGAAGTTGAGTTAATAGGATAAAGGCTAACACCAAATTAAGTCATGCGCTGCAGTCTACAATATCACGGCAAAAGCATGTAAAGAGATTCGAACAGTACACTTTTTATTACGCTGATGTTTATTTAAAAACTTCAGAGATACTGTCTTTAAAAATCGAATACGGTTTGAAAAATCTTTGTTCCATTTCATTCACATAACTAAAAACTGTGTCAGCCATTTGTCAACGTCCAAACTCAACAAAAATTCGTTTGACACTTATTTTTCTCGTATTTTCATTCTCAAATACAAATACAAATACAAATACAAAAAGTTTTATTGTCCTATTAAAACATGTTTTGCACATAATTACATGAAACAATAAAAATAATAATAATAATAAGTAGAGACAATTATCGTAATGCACGCCAAACATGTCAACAGGGCAAAAGGAGGTGTCTCAGCTTGTGCTGCCTGCAACCGTTGTTGTCGCAGACAGCGCTGTTTTTCAGCCACCTCCTTCTCAATTTTTATTCCGATTAATCCGCCTAACTTTTTCGCTGGCATTTCAGTTGCTGTGAAAATAATATATACTTATGTAACGCTAGAAAACATTTTGACTCCGCATACAAAAAGAAGTTTGTCTTTCTGCAACGATACTGCACTGTAATGTATTCAGCCATTAACACCTTCACAGCCCGTTACAGTTTGTAAATGTTGTTAGTAAATACAAAATTACACTAATACCTATATGACGTTTGTTCTGAGTGATACACAAAAAAATCCTATGATATTACTTTAATGTGTAGTTGTCCTTTCATACGTGACCCAAAGTTTCATAGGATGAAATACCGTCACGTTACCTTTTCGCCTATGTGATGCCGACGATGTAATATCCGCACAGAGCTCAAGGCTCCATTATGGAAAATGTCACCCGACGTAGGGTCGGTCCATCCGCCGCGACGTCACCGCCTCTGCTACGCCGTAAGACCGTATCCCGAGGGAGAGCCTTCTTTGTTAGGGTCAGTTTTAAAAATTGAATTTTTTTTAAACTAAAGCATGTTTCCCACTTACAAAAGACTACCTCATATATTTCCGTAGATAAGGTTATCTATGGAAAAATAAAAAGCAACTAAATGACAGAATTTAAATGAAAGTAGAATACTTTACTGTAATCCCACCAAATATAGGTATGTGAAAACAGGGCCAAGTACAAAATAACGGCAAGTGCCAGCGGTAGAGAAGCGTTGTAACTTACCAGAAACATATTACGATAGTGGTAATGTGCAAATCTCCAATACCATACGAATCTAATAAATAAATAAGATATATAAATCCAACATCCTTTTAAAAGCCTTTTTCTGTGAAAAGGAAACCGTTTTTTTATTTAGGCACAATATTCTACCGGTCAAAATGTTTACAAAGTCAAAATTTGACAAAATCTGAAACTGTATTCAAAATAAGCGTCCGCGTCGACCTTCTTTATTTTAACGGCGAAGCGTTCTTGTTCGAAGCGAGCTTAACCGTTTTCCACATGCACGTTTTTCGTGCAATATCTCTATATATTATAAATAATAATAATAATAATAATAATAAATCTTTATTAAGACGACTAAGGTCCAATTGTTAGTAATTACAATAATAAAAACTTATTTACTATGTTAGTATAAAATATACATATAAAGTTGTATTGCCTTCAATTTTCACATTTCACAGCATTTTTCGCAACATAAACAAACTTCAAATTAAGAGGCATAGTTTTAAGCATTTTGAGGGACTTATCGCGGAAAAGAATATTCCTTAGTGGTCATTTTATCCACTTCGATCACTTTTAAAACTAATTAAAAGCTGCCCCTGGGGACTATATGTTTTGGCATTATATCAAGAAAAGTTTTAGCAGGGGTGCTATACTTAATCTTTCCGATCAGAATTTTGCATGTGCTGTACCAGACTTTGTGATTGCACAGGTACTCACTTGAAGAACCTAAAGGTCTAGTTCAAAGAAATTTAAAAATGTGTAAGGCGCGTCTGGTAGGATCTACCTCACCGAAACTTCTAATTTGAAAGGCGCAGTTTGAATTTTTTTATGAGACCAAGTGTCGGGACGAACAAGTCGTGCGCCTGCTGGAAAGCGACACGCCTGTCCATAGCAGTTGCAGTGCTACTCAGAGCTTCAAATCATAAAGATTTGAGGGTCATTGCCACTATACCCGTCACCCTGAAACATAAATTAACAAGTCCCATGTGCCTGTAATTTCGCCAGTACCCTTACCCTTCAAAACCGAAACGCAATAACGCTCACTTTACTCCTGAGCGGGAGAAAGGGGTAAAGTGACAGAACTTTTCCTGGACGAACTCTTTCACAAGGATCTCTACTGCTGCTAGGTACTGTTCTGGAGGTATTAAAAAAATATGTGTCATACTATTCCATTCTAACTCATTATGTTTTAGATATGCCCAGTATATCTCCATACCAAATAATAAGCGTGTAAAAAACTGGCAGTGGCTACAGTTTTCATACAATGTGTGTCAATCATAACCAGACTACAGACTTCACTATCTTGAGAACCATTTGAAATTATTTTATAAAGTAGGATGGCGACATCCCGTGCGCTATGTAACCCAGTGTTTTTCACGACGACGTGCATTAAAGAGACCTATCAATACTTGTGATTTATCAAAGCATCAAAAAAGTTAATTGAGTACAGCCTGTAGAAGCTAGGGTTATAAAGTTGATACAGGTTATGTTTGTATTAAAACATTGCCCTGTATTTCGCTTCAGATGTTTGTTCGTAGCTGCAGAAAACAACAAGTTTTCAGTTTGTTGCTAAAAATAATAAAGAGCTTGCTGAATATTCCTAAATCTGCCAAACTCTGCCACACTAAATACAAGTAAATAAAATATCAATCTCTTTAATACAACGTTAACATGTTCTGTCGCAATGAAAATTAATAAAAATTAAATCTACCTAAATGGCAGAAATCTGCTACAAATGGTCACACTGTTCTCAATATCAAAGTGACATTGCCAGGCAAGAGGCCTCTTGTCAAAACGTTTCTTTACTAACTTTCCTATTTCTCATTTAAATATTGTCTAAACACTTTTGTCACATTGTGTTTTATTTTTTACTTTGTGTCATTATTGTTTGATTGATTATTTGATTAGGTATTATAAAGCCTTTAATGTGTACTACGTAACGTAAGTACAAAAACGTTACCTAATTTACGGTCGAATTCAATCAATTGCGTTGTGTTTTTGCACCACTTCTAAAATACATTGTTCTGAAATTTTTTTATTCCCGACTTTTAAAAATAACTGAACATAAACTAAAACGTAAAATTGTACTAGCAAAGTACATGAACGGCACTTCGTTAATTTTGGGTCAGCTTTCTTCATTCTTCTTTGATATTCTAGGCAATGATAAATTACAAGTGTAATATTATGTAGGTACATACGTCAAAGAGATTTAAATTGATAAGAATAGTTTCTACGCAGTGCGCGTACCGTGGCACTGCGTCGTCCTTTTTTTATGAACTTTGACGAACACGCTGCCGTTTGTCTAAGTTACAGAGGGTAAAGAAAAGATTAGTTTGATTCCTTATGATATTTTCTATTGGTCCTAATTCGTCTCGCTGATGAGTGGACCTCTTACAAACGGAGGTATTCCACGTTAATCCACAAATAAACAACGAATAACATTTAATAATACGTACATCTTGGTTATTTCTTGCCAGAATAAATTTACCCGAAGAACCAGTATACAATAACCCCTGCGAATACAATCATATGTAGCCGCACGTGTGTACGCATCGTAATTGCGAAAATGCTCCAAAAGAGGTTCGATCATTTGGGGTATGTGGAGAAGCTGCCTCCAAGATCTGATCTTCTCTATCGTGGTCAGTCAACATTTGAGTTTTTGAAATTGCTGCCTGGAAAAAGAAATACTTATATATAATTTACTTCTTCGATTCTCATATAATTTACCTGGTTCTTTTAATACCCGACGTATCTTATCAAAGTAATGGCCATAGCCATGACAAGCGCTCACGCCTCGCCACGTGATGACGAGAGACCTGCGAAAAATATTTTAAAACGTTATAGAAAATTTCACTTCACTTCAATGTGCGAGGTAAAACTTCAATGCAGGGTGTACAACGTAAATGTTTCACCGGCCAGTGCCGATGCCGGCGTGAAATTGCGGAATGATGAAACGTGACGAGCACGGGCGCGCGCCGGCGCGACGACGAGGGAGGCGCGAATATGAAATGTTGTCATCCTGTTGATTGAATTTGTTTCATCACAAACCGTGTCACCGACCCCGTTGTTTATTTTTCCTTTTTTCTTATTTTTTTGTAGGCAACAGTATTATATATTTTTAAACTCGGAACATGCATACACTATCCACTGTAGTGGTAGACAAGGTATGTGACAAATAATTGTAGCATACATGTCCTCTCTTTACGCAAAAATAGATTCTGAGAACTCTACATGAAGCTCCCATTGTCTCTATTGCCTTTATAGTAAATAATTGGAGTCCATCTGAATGCATCAATTAGATAATTGTACCAGCTCTGTCGGTGGAACTTGCGGGGACCAACACTACGACCGATTGCAAGTTTCGGTGCTAAACAGTTGAAGGTAGCGTCGACGAAGTATCTACGGCAGACTTAGTCCAAGTCATGTTTCGACATTATAGTCTGAGAGCTGGACGTCAGTAACCTGTCATGTTTACATTTGTTTTATTTACCTGCAGATAATCCAGGTACGTTACATTTTTTTTTTTTTATTTATGTTGAAAATTACTCTTACGTAACGGGATTTATTGAAGCTGTAACTAAGTATGTAAATGGGTAAGATTTGCAAAACAACCTAATTCAACAAGAAGTCTATTCTAGTCTACGTCATTCGTGTATCTCAATGTGGAATTTAATTTTGAAATTTATAATAGTAATTCTAACATGTTACACGAGCTATGGCAGTTTTCAATATACGTGCTCAATGAACTTTAGAAGGAACCAACGATTGTTTTGAAATCCTAAAGTGCAAAATAACCTTTTAATTTCAATAACAAAACTATGCTACTTATTTAAATTTCACAATCTTGTGCAAACCTGTGCCAACAAGGTCGTATAATAAGACATTTAACTTACGACTGTTTATTGCTTAAATCAAGAACTGTATGGCGATATATTTATAGTTTTTAAATAAGCATTAATTTTTAATCATGGCGGTCTGCTGGTCATTTAAACTAACAATGTTTTGTTTTTCCGTGTCTACCTCTCAGCCTAGGCTCATTTCAAGTACTTGAGGTGCTCAAGGCACGGAGTTAGCGGTTCCCAGAGAGCCATAGAAGTTGCACAATACAGTTGCAGTTAACTTTAGTTCATTAGTATGTATCGTGAGCAGACACGGGATTGTGGCTTGGCCGCATTGTAAGATAAGTCTGGCACAAGTTTGGCTATACCGCCGGGACTAAGGCATCATCCTCAGGGCAGCTAGTTCGATCTGGATCCTCTACATATCGCATAATTTATGTACCAATTTCCGTGAGTAATATTCATATTTCGTAATTTTACGTGTGTATATACAAACACTATCATAGATGTGAAGATAAAACTTCCTAATAAAAATAATTAGAGAAAGAAAAACAGGAATTAGCTTTCCTGGGGTCAAATCAAAATCTGCAGAAAATGAATTATTATTTTGATAACTGGGCACAAAGTTGGTTTCTTTTTAGTAAAAAATTAGTGCGTTTGCTCGAGTGATTTACAAAAACATATAGAACAAAACCTGAAACTAAATAACTGCACAGGAAACGGACTCGAAGGCAACGATGACGAATTTGACTAACCTAACCTACCCATAATAGAAGCCCACTTCGTATTGAACGCGCTTACTAAGCTATCGTGCTCTGCGACAAACAACACGAACACTGATATCAAAAGCCAACTACTAACAATTAAAGGATCACAAATAACTGGTCAACACAGGATTTTCAAGATTTTTTATAGTTTTAGTTACCTTATCTCAAATATTACACAAAGTTCTATCATTATTACAATAAGAACTAATTTTGAGATAAACTGTCTTTTGAAACAATTAAGAATAGTATGACAGCAGTGTTACGTGATAACGTAACGTCAGTTTGCTGAAATATCAACATTCCATTGCTCTGATCACAATATTTATAAACAAATCTTTCAATAATATAAATCAGATGATGTTAAATCTCATTCATTATTAAACCTTAAGTCGAAACGTACGTAACAAGACAATACATTATTTTCCTCAAATTATAATATATGAAATCAATTTGTGAACATGAGTGGACAGGGAAGAGCAGCGCCCAAGTTATAAAATATAAACTGCTAGTTAAAAGTAGTGTGTGAAATAGAAGCAAGAAAAAGATACTAAGCGAATAAAACCATAAGGGCGATTTTAATAAATAACTATAATACTCGTTTGTGCAATTTATTATTAATGAACTAAAGAATACTTTAGGAATTAATAAAATACTTTGAAAATCAAATTCATAGAAGTGAAAGAGTAACCAGCAACAAACTCACATAAGAAAAAAATATGATTATAGTATCTATAGTAATAATTCTGCTACTGTATGCAACATCTACCAACCAAAATCCTCTAGCTGTTAAACACGATTTTGACCGCACACTAATAGACAATTTACATTTGGATACAATTACAACGGAAGGCAAAACCAACCATGAACATAAAAGATCGAACGAAGAATTCCATGAATTCGCAGCATACAATAAATTTAGTAAACCAAGCGAAAACTTTGCCTTGTACGACGAACTCTGGAAAAGCAATCCCCAGAAGAATAAAGAACCTCAATCGTATTTATACAACTGCGGTGATTATGATAAAACGGATATTTCATGCTACAACGATTTAGAAAACGATGGTCTCAAAGATGCAGATGGTGATGAAATGACATTTCCTGAAAAGAATATTTTCTTCATAGAAGCTTCTTGTCAAATGGGTCTCACTTTTCACCAGGTATGCTCTATAGAATCAGCAGCTAAAGCAAACCCTGGATGGCAAGTGTCAGTGCTGTTTGCTGGGCGAATTCCCAAACAGTGCCAAAGTACTGTCAACTTCACGACACTCGATACATATGGTAATATCCATCTTTATAGGATACATGTGAAGAAATTCGCCGATGGAACACCGTTCCAAGACTTTTTTAACAGTAACGCTTTAGATAACAGCTTGCATCCAGTATATCACTCTGCCGAGATTTTAAAATACTTGACACTTTATAAATGGGGAGGTGTGTATTTGGACACCAATATGATGGTATCCAAACCATTCGACAATTTACCTCTTAACTGGATTGCTAGAGAGAACGACGATGACCTCGGAACAGCTGCTATGGCTCTAACTAAAGATAATATTGGCGGGCTTATTTCTAAAGCAGTAGTTGAGTATGTTTGATTTTATTCAATATTTCTTTATTTTTGCTGTCTTGTCAACCATTTGTGCAACCAAAAATAATAATTTTGGTGCTGTTATTATTGCAGAATTTTAGCAAAGACATTTTGTGTCTCCAAATATTGCGCAAATGGCTTCGGAGCAATAACACAAGCTTTAAATGAGACGTGCCAATTAAACAATGTTTCCATACAGTGGAAGTCACGCAGTTGTCCTGGTGCGTACATGAAACTGCTTAAAACTAGATTAAATCTCAGTGAATGAATCACGCCTCTTGAATCTCAATTAACATCGTAATATCTTTCACACAAATGAAGATTTCATATCACTAATAGTCGATGCCGTAGTTGTACATATACTATTTAATTAAACACTTCTTTTTTAGGTCTCAGGATACTCGAATCAAAATATTTCTATCCTTTAGAGTATTTCATTGAACACCAGTACGCTGACAAAAACTTCAAATTGAGCGATGCGCACACCTATCATATTTGGAGCCAGAGTATACCTGAAGAAAGCTTTCCCTTCTACAGTAAATTGGCGAAGACATATTGCCCTCGGGCTTACACGTTTTTGGCTCACGGATTTAATGAAAGTTTATATTTCGATAACGAAGAAACTAGGACTAGACGACCATCCATGCTCATCACCGAAAGCCTTGCCGAGCCTCTCTTAGAAAATGTACGCCCGCAGAAACTAACACTAGAAAAACACAATACTGTCACTGTGACTCGTCGAGCTCTCCCGCCGTGTGGAAATAAGCATAACGGCGCCGCTTGTTTACAAGCAAAAAAGGAACTGGTAAAAAGAAAAGTTCAAAGAAATTGAAGAAAAATAAAATTTCGAAAAACGAAATCCAGCCGACGTTATAAAACAAAACTATTGTAGGATGCTAAAATGTTAAAACTCAGTGACGATCGGAACCGAGAACTAAAACCAAAATCAACGAACACAGCTACTGGCGAGTTGATAATTATGAAAATTGACGTACTGATCATTAGAATAGTCTAGTGATATGGAAAGTGAAAAGTTAGATAGTTAAGTTAGGTAGTTTAGTAGACAAACCAAGTGGATTAAGAGCCCCCTTGTCTGCTCAAGAACAAAGTCATACTATAAATACTATGTAGTATTGAGAAATTCACGAGTGATAACGGAATATCTAAATTATTTTAACTGCCTCCGTAGCCGAACGGTTACGATGCCGGACTGCCACGCTGAGGAACCAGGTTCGATTCCCGGGCCGGGAGAAATATTTGTATGGCCTGCATTTATTTCTCTCGTGAGTTTGGGTGTAAATTGTGATTGTCTATGTGTGTGTCCATGGCATCCGTGACACAGGGTTTCCCTAGTGCGGGGCTATGTTGAGTGTGTGCGTGTGCGTTATTATTTTCTGATTCAATGAAACGACGCAAGTTCACAAACAGGCTTTTATTGTTAAGGTAGACATTTTATATAAATATATCGACGCTTGAATGGCAAAATGGGATAAGCGACACTTTTGGGTCAAATATACCGTTGGAATCAAAAACATTAGCTGCAACTCACTATTAACAAAAGTGTCGCTTATCCCGTTTTGCCTTTCAAACGTCGATATGTATCTTTAACCGACTTCAAAAAAAGGAGGAGGTTCTCAATTCGACTGTATGTTTTTTTTGTATGTATGTTACGTGATAACTACGGTATTTATGAACCGATTTCATAGTGGTCCCATTTAATTTTGAAGAAAATCATCTACCTCTAAGAGTTCACGCATGTAGATTTATTTTTATAAATAGCGCCTAAATTTTATTATAAGGAGCAATTATTTTAATGGTTGATTTTTCTATTCTCCAATTCAAGGTGTTTTTCTCTCTCAATATACTTTGAGTAGTGAGAACCGATTTTTATTATCTCCTGTGTCAAGTCCCCCGTATAGTGGCGAACTAGGGGATGAATCTGAGTTTGCGCACTTTCCGGTAACCGATTTCAATAAAACTTGGTAATTATATGTAATTCTACTACTTTTGAGGTCGGTTTTTTTAGTACTCTGTACTGAGATTATATGTAAATAGTCTTCCAAATAAAGTGTACAATTTTATTTGATTGCACTTCTATGCGAAATATGCTTTGTCTTTTTGGTAACCACCACCGTCTCCATCCCATAACGCTTGAGTAAACCAAATTAATACATAACTTGGAATAATTCCATTTGCCTTTGTCTAAGTAGAAGTAACGATGTAACCCGTGTAATCTTTTTTCCGATACTCTGTTTGTTTTGACCCTGACATAAGGACTCCTAAAAGATATTCACTGAAGCGTCGTAATGAAAACTTTCACGTTTACATGTACCTACTTGCAAGGGTAATCTAACAAGTGAAGAGAATAATGTTTTTTTTATGTTTTTTACTTTTACTTTTTTTTTACTTTGTCAAATGGTGAACTGTTCCCACCAGGATATGTGGTGATTTGCGAGGATCGAATGTGCGACACTGGTTGGGGTGGAGTGTTGCTGGCAGTGCATGATTGCTATTCTGTACGAAAAATCACGGATATTAGTGGATTTACACCAGACAAGGAACTATTATTTGCCACTATCAAATGGAACAATATGAAATTGTTATGTTGTGTCGTGTATTTGCTTCCTAATTGTAGTGACGATCATTGTCTGAACACATTATCGTGTATCGAAAATGCAGTCTGTTCATACTCTGACTTTGACGTTTTAGTTTTAGGAGACTTTAATTTAAATTCATTTTCCAAAAGCATTAAAACACAATTTAATTTTTTCTGTGAATTTTGTAAGTTAAAAGAACACAATACAGTGCTTAATAGTTATGGCGGGAAATTAGACTTAATACTGAGTGATCTTGCCCCTGATCAGGTTACTGTTTCAATTACTTGTGACCCCTTGGTACCGATAGACAAATATCATCCCGCACTTGAACTGACTTTAAGACTGCGATGCTGGCGTGGAGCTGAGCGTCCCCTGTCTTCTCGCCTCCGTACCCCTGAACTACAGGATATGTGTCCCAATTGGAATTGGCGTAAAGCGGACTATCAAGCGCTTTACGCAGCTTTAGCTCAAATCGACTGGACTGATTTGTTTGAAATTCGTCATGTTGATGATGGTGTTGAGTTTTTCTATTCAAAAATATGCGAGTGTTTTAATCGTTTTGTACCTGTCAAAAAACTTAACCAACGTGATGGTCGATTCGCATACCTGAAATGGTATACTGCTGAAATTATACGTAACTTAAAATATAAATATTATCATCTGAAAAAACTAAGTTTGAGGGAAAGGTATATAATAAAGAAATGTACAAATTCTATAGGTGGCATGTTAAAGAGCGAATAAATGATGCATATCAGCAGCATATAAGTAGTTCCCAAAAAAGTATATTTGATGAACCAGCCAAATTCTGGGGATATGTCAAAGATAAAAGAAAGGATAAGCGGTGTGTTGATGTCTTTTCCTACGACAGTGTGGACGTGTCTGGACAGACTGCAGCGGACGTTTTCGCTCAATATTTCAGCTCAGTTTTCCTATCGGACTCACCTAGCCTGGACTTTGCGGATGCCGCTCGAGCTGCCCATTCAAAAGTAGATGTATAGTATATGGATATAGCTGTTACGAGTGTGAGCGGTATCGATTTGAGAGTTGCCATTAGGCGTCTAGAAACTCAATCTGCGGGGGATCCTGATGGTGTACCAGTATTTCTAGCGAAGGATTGTGTCAGTTTTCCAGACACCACTGCTTTACATCTATAACCTATGTCTTGACTCTGCAAAATATCCGCTGTGCTGGAAGCTATCGCATGTAACGGCGGTGCCGAAAGGAGCGGTACTTTTTAAGTGCCTCTGTAGCCGAACGGCTACCATGCCGGACTGCCACGCAGAGGTCCCAGGTTCGATTCCCGGGCCGGGAGAAATATTTGTATGGCCTACATTTATTTCTCTCGTGAGTTTGGGTGTAATTTGTGGTTGTCTATGTGTGTGTCCATGGCACCCGCAACACAGGGTTTCCCTAGTGCGGGGCTATGTTGAGTGTGAGCGTTATTATTATTATTATTATTATTATTATTATTTTAGTGTTTGCAAAAATATTTGAGGCAATCCTTAATAAGCATATCAGTAGGCAAATAGATGGTTTGATGCATAACAACCAACATGGCTTTCGTAGAGCTCGATCAACCACGACTAATCTAGTGGCGTTGGTAGACTATGTATCTGTAGAAATGGATGCTGGACGGCAGGTTAACGCGACATACTTTGATTATAAAAAGGCATTTGACCTGATTGACAATGATATACTGTTGAGGAAATTGGCGTTAGCAGGCTGTACGCCTAAACTCCTGCGGGTTTTTTGCCAGTTACCTGGAAAATAGGCGTCAGTTCGTGAAAATGCAGGGGTTTGTGTCAGCAGAATACTATACAAGATCTGGTGTAAGTCAAGGAAGTATGCTTGGCCCGACTTTATTTTTGCTAATGATGAACGACTTGCCTCAAACTATCCGTACCGCACATTGTCTTATTTTTGCTGACGACCTTAAGCTATTTCTAGGCGTGAAAGATATCGCAGATACAGCTGCCTTGCAAGTTGACATTGATGCGGTGTCAGAGTGGAGTTTAGCTAATCGTATGCCATTTAACAGATCCAAATGCAAAGTCATTACTTACACCCGTAAGCGTTGCCCAAGACTAACAAACTATAAATTATTTGATGCCTGTGTAGATAGAATTTTTGACATTTGTGACTTAGGAGTAACATTAGATAGTAAGTTAGACTTTCATAATCATATGACAGCAACCTGCAAACAGGCGAGTAAGACATTAGGCTTTATTCTACGGACATCCTACGAGTTCAATGACGTGGCTGTGGCGAGGGTGTTGTATAACGCTTACGTACGCAGCAAACTAGAATACGCAGCTATAATTTGGGACCCTTATGAATACAAATATTCTATTATGATTGAACGAATTCAGCGAAAATTTGCACGTTCTATAGACTGCACTACGGGTATTACCCATACTTGTATCCTTCGCAGTTTGTTGCGGACATGGTGGACTTAGACACTTTGTCTCGTAGGCGAAAGATGCTTCTTCTGGCTCAATATTTATCCGCGTTGCATCATAAGGTGGATAT